CACAAATGTAATAACATATGGTAAAGTGATATATATTGCAGACAAATAAATTATAGATAAATAAGATTGCAGATAATAAGATTACACATAAATAAGATTACATCACAGGACTGTTATTATACTAATCCATTGCAAAATTATGCGCCACACCTTTCAGGTATTCCATTTTTCTCGATTTTCAAAATCTTCAACTTAATTCTCATATCACGCTCCAGATACCTATTCGCTTGTGCAGTGGTTCATCTCCACGTACAAATTGTTCATACATTGATCAATCGATTTTTGAACACCTTGAGAACATCTATGAATTCCCATAATGTGGAGTGTGAAACTCAAATGATGATGAACCAAATTTATTGGAATTATGACAAACTTATTCTAAAAATAAAATACGAAAAGTATTCGTCAAACAAAAGCAAAAAATGTATGGCGTCGAACTGACCCCGCGTCGAAACGACCTCGTGTCGAATTGACCACGCGTCGAAACGCTGGCGTCGAACCGTTGGCGTCGAAGCGGTGGCGTCGAACTGACCTGTACCACCAAAAAGTACTTAATGTCTCTACAATGTAATGAGCCAAAGCGCATAAAATTTAGAATATCTTAGTAAATATTATCATCCGAATCAGTAACCTGAATCGTGCATTTTAGAACAAATCGTTCAGGAACCGATGTATCTAAATCATGCATCTAAGGTGAATTTGAGTCAGTTTGGAATTCTTTCAAATGCCGTCGTTGTGCAGATCGGAAATTTCCGACTTTTCTCCTCATTGAACAATCTGCTTATCGTTACAATTTTACCTCTGCGTTCGAAAAGTGATTCCGGTATTTGACAAGGATAAGGCAGTACTGCCAACACCATCTAGATAGTTACAAGTCCTGAGCCAACATCATCTAGGTAGTTACAAGGCCTGAGCCAACACTTTTTAGATAATTACGAGACGTTGTTATCTCAGGCCTTATTCCTCGAGACGGTGTTGGTATTGCCCAGTATCTTTTTGAGCTGAATTGTCATGCAGGGTTCTCAACAAAGGTGTCGAATTTGTCCAATAAAATACTTTATTTTCAGAAAGTAGAAAATATTTTAACATCTTTAAAAACGCGCAAAGTTTAAGATTGAAAACTAAATTTTTGCATGTGACCTGTACGACTTGCACTGGAGTATTCCACTCTCTTGTTGAAATTCGTAAACGAATTTTCACTTATCTGCCTACGGAGATGGCTAATGATGCATTCAATTTTCGTTTTATTTTATTTATTTTATTTTTATTTATTCATTTTTTATTTATTTATTTATTTATTATTTATTTATTTTTATTATTTATTTATTTTTTATTTATTTTTTTTTCCCTAAGTTCGTTATTTTTGGGACTTGGAAGAACACTGTCACGTAAAATCAGCTATTAACAGACCGGCTAGATCGAGAAAACATGAGTCTGATGTCAAACCCATGTTCTCAATTTTTTTTTATCCTTCTGCAAATGTTGTTTTATTATGTGCACATTCATGTCCAAAGATAGCACAAAGCTTTCTAACATAACACTCGACATTCTTGCCATTCATTTTCACAATCAAACTTGCTGCCGCTTTGTGTGGCTTTCCATGTCGATTAAGTTGCATCGAAGCTGTGAAATGAATTGACAGTGATAAAATGCCAGTATTAGCAGGTCAAATCATCGGAACATCTACCTGTCGTAAGTATGTAAAAATATTTCCCCCTTTCTTGGAATAACGATTTCGTCTGGGCATATTAACACATTTATTGGGACACCATTTAGTTCTGCAATGACTTTTTCAAGGTTTTCATTCTGATTTTTAGTTGAAAAAACACTTTTCTGGTCGGTTTTTACCTTGTGCATTCTTCATGTGTTTGTCTGTCCTGCTGTGCGCGGTTCCTTAGTCTGGCTTCGTTCTGTACTTCTCCATCCATTATTGCGAGGACAGTTTTACGAGATTTTTGCTGTTGTTGGAAACTAATATCTCCATTTGTTTGTTGTTCTGCTGCAAAGAGTGTTGATTTTTTTTTTTTTTTTTTTTTTTTTTTTTTTTTTTTTTTTTTTTTTCATTCCTGTCTGGCTTCGTTATGATACTTGTGAAGACGTTTTTATCGTGAAATTGTTCCGCCATTTTGTTGTTGTTTGTCGTTCCTCCTGAATAAGAATTTCGATGAGCTTCCTTGTTTTCTTTAGCATAGTTGTGAGTTGAATATTGTGACGTTTTCTTTCGTATTCATTAGGAGCAGGTTTTGCGTATGCTTGCATTGATTTCAAGTTCATCCTCTGAAGTTTAGCTGTCATGATATCCCAGACAACAAAAGACTGTGAGATTATTCCAAGAAAATTCTTTTATCTTCCTATCACATAACTAAGATTTATGCTTTCTCACTTTTCTCTCGGTAACGTCACAGCAAGTTAACGAATTTTATTGTGGAGAGGAGTGCAGGACTGCGTCTGTCGGTGGCATGAGACACCTGTTACAGTTCGTTTGGCGAAGAAGCGAAGATTCCAGGATGATGCGGTAAATAATATATTGGATTCTGCCCTGTGTCATTTTGTTTAGTTACTGAATCTACGATTCACAGCTTATGGCATTCTTGTATCACAAATGTGTAGTCAACATGCAAAGGTGGATCCTTTTAAAATCTCCGAATTGACGAAAGAATTCATTTCTTAGCATATATGATTATTATATAGATTAACCCGTTATTTTGTAATTTCAGCCTTTACTACAACTTTTCCTTTCTATCTTCTCACCAGAAATGTAAATGGGGTTAGAGAGTATTTAAGCTGAGGTTTTTTGGATTGTAAGACAGAACATGTTTCTGCCTCTCGCAGGCACTTTACTTAATTCCTGCCAGCTCTGCTAAGTTTGTAATTATTCGTCTTTGCTGATGATATTTGAATTACTTACACTGGTTAGAATTTTTGAGCGAGCCTAGTTTAAAATTTAGTTGTGTAAACTTTGACTACTAGTCTACGTTTTAAATTTGAATTTGACTGTTACTTTAGTTGCACAGCCTGATGTTGTGGTTGATTCTGTTAACACAAGGACGTTCACTTATGTTCTAGTATCTTCTTAAATAGAGTGATTTGTTTAAACTTTTCCAAGTTATAAGGTATTTTTTCCTTCCTTGCAGCATGCCTTCATGGTGTAACAGTAGCACACTCAGCGCGTATTCGAGAGGTCCAAGTTCGATCCCAGTCGAGGGCATAGCTCATTTTTCATGTCTCCTGTTTCAATGACTCTGCAAAGTCTGTGTAGTTACATGACATAGCAATAATTCGTTTTACGTATATTAGGGGCTTGTACTGTTTAGCATTACATTTAAGTGAAACCCAACATGCATTATCGTAATTATTTCCTAAATTATCATAATTATGTGTCCAATGAAGTTGTACTTCATAACGGCCTTCCTTAAAGTTTAAACTTGATTGGAAGTTTGATTTGGTTAAGCTTGATGTCGAAGAGTTTCATCAGAAGTGGACATTTTTAAGGAGTCATCATAGATGCGTATATGAATTTAACTTCCAAAAAGGGTTTTGATGCATTTTGCATTTTGATGGTGAGCAGTTAACTGAGTCGGTGTTAAAACTAATCGTCATCAAACTTGATCATAAGAAAAGCACTTAAATCTTTAGTGGATTTTGCTCTGATGTTTAAAGAGAATGTGTTACTGTACTTTGAATTGATCATCCCATCAGTGTATCTGTTAACATCATCGACGAACTTAAACGTTACTAGAGATTATTTCCCCAAAATAATCCGATCCAATTAGAATGTATATTTTATAATTGCTATATTTGCCATCTTCATAATTAGTTCAAAGATTGGATCTGTTTATTCAGTTTCTGGATAAACACTAGGATCGCAAATTACTGATGATTGTAACGTTTCAATAATCAAACATTTACAGTGGTGTAACAGTAGCACAGTCGGCGCGTATTCGAGAGGTTCGATCAAAGACGAGGGCATAGCTCATTTTTCATGTCTCCTTTTTCAATGACTCTGCAAAGTTTCGTTTTCTATATTATAGCATCTCGTAGGTAACAGTTCCACACTGCCCGGTTCCGCCCCGGTTTGGTAGGAGAATCCCCCTGGGGACGGGTTCAAAGGCACACCTCGTTTTCCTACCATCAAACAGCTCGAGAGAATTTCGGTTCGCGGTTAAGTGACCCCATGCCGCAAAGACACTGTGCACTCACCAAATCTCCGAGATTCGAATTCGAAACCAATGATACGGCAGCCAGCATCGCTAACTACTATATTAAGCAAGTCATCATGCCATTTGTAACTAAATTTTTATAAATTAAAAAATGTTACACACTATAGGACTATCAAATCACGCGCACACATAAACACACACACACACCAATAATATATATATATATATATATATTTAAGGGGGAGAAAATCTAATTGTTAACTGGCCCTGCAACGTAAGTTCGAAATAACATCAAATATCCCATATTTTGAAATTAAATCTGTTGGTCAATTTTCGTCATTGTACGTATGTCGGACTTCTTGTGTTTTATTTTTTAGAATAAAAAATCAGAAGGCCAGATGGACCTAGGAATTCTTCTTCTTCCTTAGAGCGTTCCTTCGTGATGTACATGGAAGCACTTCCGATTATTCCGATTAGCAGAGGAAGGTCCGCAGTTCGAATCCTGACAAGGGCGTAACTGATATTCTAACGTTTCTCGCACCAAATATTTTAAGCTCTGGAATAATGTTTGAACTAAAATGTGTGTGTGTGGGCGAATAATTCGTCACCACTTGGCTTTAATGTCTGTGTGACTTTCTTCGCAGTCGCCCTTAAGTGGGATTGAATGTAAGGGTTTTTTTTTTTTTTTTTTTTTTTTTTTTCTTTCCACGTTTGGCTAGTAACCGGAAGGGCCGCTGTTCGAATTCCGAATTAGTGATTATTTCCTGCCCTCAAATGAACCTAATGATATACAATAACCTCAAATAACCTAATAATATAAAGGTTTTCTTACGATTGAAAGTACTTGCTTCGGCAGTACATATACTAAAATTGGAACGACACAGAGAGGATTAGCATGGACCCTGCATGGATGACACAGTATATAAAAAAAGAACGGTTTCTTAATTTTTGCACTGGGTAAAAAAAATAGATTTAAACAGTATTAAAAAATAGTTTTCGTAATTTTTAAATTTTTTTTAATATTTAAAAGTGTCAAAACAGGACTATTTGCGTCATGTAAAACATTTTGATGACTGACGTATAAATAGATACTTTCAATAGCATTTTAATTAGGAAAATGCGAAAATTTGTTTATGAATTATTCACAATATCTTGCAAAAAATCTAAACTGTTCATAACGTTTCCGGAAATTTCACCGATGTTGTACCCTTAATCTTAATACTCTTTTTACTTAATCTTGATATTCTTATTGGATGAGAAACTGCAAAATGGAAAATTGTAAATTTGGTAAAAAATTAGTTTGACATTTATGTTTTCAGGGGAGGGGGAATTATGCAGAAATGTTTTGCTCTTGAGGTTATGAGGGACACCTATGTCTGATTTTATTGTCTATGTGTAATTTTAATTTTTGTGTATCTTTTTTTATTTAATTAACTAATTTAAAGATTTTTATGGTCATAAGTGATAAAGGCAAATTTTGATAATTATACAATACTAAAAGCCAGTTACCTTGTATTAGGAACTGTGGTTTTTAGATTATGTTGTATTTAAACATCTCACAGCCATCACGCTGATTCGCTTTGTAAAGACCTGCCCATTTTAATCAAAGTTGTTCTATGATTATATTGCATTCTGTTAGTTTTCTGTTATTATATATATTTTACATTTCTTTACGATTAAGAAAATGTGGATTGTTTTATAAGTTTTAAATAATTAAGTTTAATACAAATTTTATGAACATGTAAAAGAAAATTTTGGTTTGATATTAAGAACAAGAATTTTTCCGAAAGATCTTTCTTTCAAGACCAGGACTGAAAAATATTAAGATTATGATTATGGTATTCAAGCAAAGATTTTCGAGAACTGTGAACTTTTATAGTTATTTTTTTAAAAAAATTAAGACATTCTTTTGCAGCATTTTCACAGAAAAATGAACTTGTAGACTTTCAAAATTTCAATAAAATTTTCAATTTGCATTTATTGTAAAAAATGATATCTACAAGATTTTGTAATTTAAAAAAAAATATTTCAATCAAAATTTGACTTACCCCCCTATCAAAATTGTATTTTCCTTGTTCCTGTAATGCTTTCTTCTAGACATTTCTCGCCACGCCTTTTCTTCTTGAAGGGGATGTGTAAGATATAAATAATAAATTAATAATTTAAGAACAGCCCTATAACTCCTCTTTTAAATCCCCTCTTCCTTCTTAAAAAAAAAAAAAAAAAAAAAAAAAAATAGCAACGTAATATAATCTTTACGCCCTGTAATTCTGATAAAAGATTCGTCATTTATTCTCTGCTACGAAATTATTCCTAGAATGCCATGAAATCTCAACCTAGCATCCGGATATTAATCTGGTTGTGATCCGAATGTAATCTCGTATAAAAGGCTTTGCTACGCAGTCTCGCGTTTTTTTGCTTCGACTCTTCTTACTGGCCGTTCCTTTGTTCGCCGCTCTCTTTGCTTTGTCTTGCTGCTAAATACGCCATTATCTAAATTGTGATAAACTATATAAAACTGCGGGGTGCATATTGCACCCATGTTGATGTGTGACAAAGAATGTATTTTCATAATTAGTTCGTTGTCCAGCAATAAAAATTATGTTCAATTCTGTGACATCTGTCTACAAGTCTCTCTTATATATCCTTTAAACTACGGAGCGAAAAAAACTGCTCAAATCTGTTATAACTATCGCCCATATATATATATATGTGTGTGTGTGTGTGTGTGTGCAACGAAATGTTATGGCAGTCGCATAAACAAAATTTCAACGATCTACTTTTGATCGTTTTTGGGTTATGCGAAATACATACGTACGTGTTATGCGAAATACATACGTGCGTCTCAAAAATTTCCATTTTATAATCCGTTTTGGGAAAAGAGGCTTTTATTCTGTCCGTACTTACAGACCTCATTCCAAAAAATAGTCAGAATGGATTCAGAAACGTCAAAATAAATATTTACGACGAAGTCTGAAAACTGAATTTTTTTGCGGTTTCCTTTACTTCGTACAAGGAAGTAAAAAGATCCAGTCTTTTGACTTCGGATCACGTAATGAGAGTAGCATTATCATTTTTACACCCACATATAAATGAGCTTGTAAAAAAAAAAAAAAAAAAAAAGAATCTCAAATTTTTGTATAAAACGTAATTTATCTCATTAAATAAACATTTTGCTTACTTTGCAATGCGATTTTATTATCATATGTCCTTTTTATGAAATGTGTTGTAGATACATCAATCAATTAATCAAGTAAAATTCTTTTAAATTTATCTTATTGTTAGTCTCTACATTTAGTTGTTCAATGGGAACTGTGACGAAAAAAAGTTTGAGAATCGTAGACTCTATGGTGAACGGTTGCGAAAATAAAGGCCGCGTAATGACTTTTGCGGACGCGGTATTACAGTGCCGGATTTATGTATAAGCTGAACAAGCTATAGCTTAGGGCCTCCACTTTCTTGGGCCCTCCAAAAAATTGCTGCATATCCCATATAAAAAATATTGACTCATAACCGTCATAAAGCGCCCCATATCTCAAATAGCTTAGGATCTCGCCAATTCTAAATCCGGTCCTGGTGGTGTATAGTAACTAAGAATGAAGTTTAATTTTTCTTTGTTTCTTTCTGCCATTGTGTCTGTATTCCGTGGTTAACCGCATTGTGCCTGCCCACCAAAAACTGCAAGTTTAGAATAACAGCGCCGTAAATAGTCTTTTACAATGGCGCCCTCCTGTTTATGCTTCGCACTGTGCAAAAATTTGGTCGCGTAGTATTTGTTGTAAACCATCGTTTGCAGCCTTGGCGCCTTCGCATGGAATTCCTGTCAGATCGCGGTAAACAAGCCGCGAGGAATGATGCCATACTCAGCAGAAAGAATGAGAACTTGTTATTTTTCGGAGTGAAATATTGCTTTGAGAGCGTTTTGAAAGGGGACAGACTTCGATTTGGGGGCTGTTTATGCTTGCGAGCGCAGAATTAACGATTTTGTTATTGAGGAAGGGATACATGGATTATAACGTTTGTGAGAACAGGGAGCAAGCAATATTCATCAGATTCACTACATAAATATTTGGTACTCTTTAAATTTAAATGTTCTTTCAGTGCTGAGATGGCAGGCGACCTTTTTTGGAAAGGACAATCTTTTAATCAGTTTCCCTGTCCTTGCTCTTTTTTTGAGTTCGGAAAAAATGCCAATGCACTTTATTTCAAAATTAAAATTCCTTAAATTTTCATTTTTTACACAGACCAACTGATTGTTCTAAACAATTATTCCAACTGCTTCTAATTGATGATAATCCTATAGAAACCACACCGATTATTCAAATATATTTATTGATCTCGCGATATTTAATGCCAATATTCAGTTTAGCCCTTGAAGAAGTAAAAAGAAAAAAAAGAAAAAAAAATGATGTAGATATTTTCAATCTCTTGACCAAATTAAAAAAAAAAAAAGAAAAAATCTTACATCTGGATATAATGAGAGATTTTTTGACCTTAAAAATGTTAAAATATTACATAATGCAGAATCTCAAAGATTATCGAAGATTAAATTCTTTCTTTCTTCAGCAGTTTTTGATGAAAATTCTACATTTGGCAGACTGCCAATCCTAAATCTGTTAAGTAATTCATTTCGAACATACAAGTAACTTGACGAAGTTATTGAAGACTTGGAACTAGAAAAAAAGCTGGATTTGAATATGGATGACCTTTTTAATAAAGTACCTTTAATTTAAAAAAAAAAAAAAAAAAAACTTACGAGTGGAAAATAAAAGGCAACTGGAAACAAAACATTTTGTGGAAAATGGCGTATGATTTTAAAAAGTGCTAATTATAAATGTATGGATATTTACAAAATAGTTTCGTATGTGTTTTCAATTATTGCTGTATCAGCATGCTGTGAAAGAATTTTTAGTTTCATATTGACTAAATGGAGAAATGAACGAAATAGGTGTTCGATATAATTCATAAAAGATGAATTATTTATGTGTTTTAACTTTCTTTCAAGTTGCTCAAAATTTGCCGAAAAAAATAAAAAGCGATGCCCATTTTCTAAAGTCTGCCAAAAAATTAAAAGTTTAATTTTAAGAGTTTCAAATATTTTTTCTGAATTTTTGAATTAACATTTTAAAAATTGAATTCTAACGAGTATTCTAATAATGCATTAGTAAGGAAAATGAGAGTTCTGACTCGGGAGCTTAGAAAGGAAAGCGAAGAGGGATGTATGTCTTGAGAAAAAAAGGTCATTCGGGGGAAGGAGGTTTATCTGACTATAGAGGTAGGGAAGTAAGAGGAAAGGGCCTTGCACTGCTTTGAAGCAGTGACACACCCCTCGTGGAGACCAAAACATTCAGTGACTTACCATTAAGGGAATCAATGGGTTTTTGACATGATCGGAGGTAAACATTTTGTAATTATGTCGTAAATATACTTATAAATGTATATATTTTCCTTTTCTACAATATTTCAGAGTCCTAAGTATGTGAAAAGAATACATATTTAAACAACATTTCATTCTGAACGGAATTAAATGCAACAATTTTCTCAGAACAATTTGCTCCAGAACAGAATGCTACAATTTTCCCAGAACAGTATTTGAATGAAGTACTTTCACAAGTTTTCATTAATTACATTAGAAAGGAATTTTAAGGTAATTCGATTTTATTCGGTTAACGGTTTCATAAATTAAGATCAAAGTTTATGTATTATTATATTAAAATAATTGCATTCTTTCTTCCTGTTACAAGCTTCTTCCTCCAATACTCAGGTTCAATGTCCGTCTTACTTCTTTGGGACATGCACCCCTGACTCGGAAAGGGAGCTACTAAAGCTATGTTCAAATAACGTGGGAAGTAGACAAGATACACAGGGTTACAAACCCTTTTTTTCACTCTTTACAATAATTCCGTACTTCGGAATACAGAGACCAACTACTTGTGGTCTGAACGTAGAA